TCCTCATCTAATAGACGTCGATGAACACACGCAGAAATTATGTTAGGATACTAGGAAGCGGAATTATATTGTAAATTTATTGTTATACGTCACTGAAGATGGCTAAAAAATAGCCGAAACGTTTGACTTAGAATAAAGTAAATTTCTTAGAAATAAATTAATGCGTACCAATAACCACGCTGATTCCCATCTGCCTTACTCATACCTACTTAGTTTCAATTTGGGGAATCTTGTTAGGTTTTTATTGTTTGTTTATTTTATATTTTAAAGTAAAAGATCCTTCAAACATGCATATATGTTGCACGAAATACAGTAGTAATAATTAGGCACGTTGTAGCATACTATCAAAATGTAAAATTATTTCTTAAATTTGACGTTACTTCTTAAACTATAAATGTAAGTATATTAAATGAAGACAATTAATACGTTGTATTTGTGTGTGTGTGTGTGTGCGTGTGCGTGTGCGTGTGCGTGTGCGTGTGCGTGTGCGTGTGCGTGAGCGTGTGCGTGTGCGTGTGCGTGTGCGTGTGCGTGTGCGTGTGCGTGTGCGTGTGCGTGTGTGTGTGTGTGTGTGTGCGCGCGTGTGTGTGTGTGTGCGTGCGTGTGTGTGTATCCCATAATAAATCAAGCATAATATTGATTTATTATGGGATATTGGCGCCACGGACGACCGTTCCTACCGCGGCCTCGTTGCTCGTATCAACGGGCTCGAGCTCGCCCTCGCCCTTGACCACGGCGAACTCCTGAAACAAAAAGAATAAGAATATTATTACAAAATACAGTCAACAATAAATATGAAATATGAGAGAGCATTAATAAATGCACTTTCTAAAAGCAAATCAGTGAAATTAACAGTGATTTTCAGTGTATAATTTTTCAGTGACTTACTTAGAACTGTGATAAACAGTGAATATGTCAATATTCTTTTAGTGATAATACTGAATGAAACAATAAATATCACTGAAAGACAGTGAGTTTCACTATCAAACAGTATTGAGAATTGAAATTCAACCGTCTTTCAGTAATATTCACTATTTAATTCAGTATATTAATTAATTGTTACTGAAACATTAAAATATTCAATGTTCTGTGTATCTCAATTCTTAGTATGCCACTGAAAAATGAAACACATTGAGAATTAGTGATGATTCCACTAATTCATTTTTAGAGAAATTGGATTGACAATTTTGAAAAACGTACTTTTATACTGCTGCTGTTGTTGCTCCAGCGGCTGGTCCCGCGGTTCGTGTAGAGGCTCGTCCCGCGGATGGTCCCGCGGGTCGTGTAGAGGCTCGTCCCGCGGATGGTCCCGCGGGTCGTTCCGCGGCTCATTCTGCGGCTCATTCCGCGGCTGGTCCTGCAGCTGGTTCCGTGGTTCGTTTCGCAGCTCATTCCGCGGCTGGTCCTGCGGCTCGTTCCGCGGCTCGTTCCGCGGCTCGTTCCGCAACTGGTCCCGCGATTTGTTTTGCTTCTGCAGCTGCTCCCGCCGTTGCAACAGTTGTCGCAACTGTTGCAACTGTTGCTCCTGTTGATGCAGCAACCGATGCATGTGCTGCATTTCTTTTCTATCTTCTTTATGTTGCTGCTGCAACAGGTTTATCTTCTGATGCAGCGGCGACATGTCCGCATTTGTTTCCTCTGTATCCTCAGGGAACTCAGGGATCTCAGGGAACATTCCTCTAGGAAAAAAAAGAATTTAATACTTATATAAATATTCGTGCAAACATTACATATTAAAGATTATTTTATTCTAGACATGCAAATTAAGGTTAAGTGAACAAAATCTGACAGCGGCCTATTGTAAAAACCGAGCCCCGTATTTTACAACTACATCATTTCGAAATTTGATATAATATAAAAATCGCAGATTTTACTGTAACAATGTGAAATGTATATGGAAAATATGGAAAATACTTACGTGATTCCTGCAACATCTTCGCGAGACTTAGCACCTTCAACAGCTGCACTTTGCAATAAAACAAATGAAGGGGGGCGTATTGAGACCCCCCTAGGAGAAACGGCGTTCGTTGAACTAATGGATTTCGTTGATGTCGATAACGTCATACGATATTGTTGATGGTCAAATGCCTCTTCACCATCGTTAACGTACTTATTGTGTTATTGAACAAGAGCGTGAGTTAAAAATCTTACAATCTTGTGACACGCAAGCAAGTGTGTTTCGTGAATTGTGCTTTTGATCAGGAGGCCTTGAACCTCAGGAGGAGATCCGTGAACCTCAGGTGATAAATTTTTGCAATTAAGGCTATATAAAATATATTCAAGGGTATTTTTCATATTTCTCAATCTCGGCTATTTAGTTTGTAATTAATCAGTTTTGTGTATTATAATTTAGAATCTTAGTTTAGCTGTAGTTCCACTTTGACATGGAAACACAAGATAAAAATAAAGAAACAACACAGAAAAAAATGAAGCGAAGCTTTTCAGAAGCTTGGCTTAACGATGAGCGATGTAATTCTTGGATACGAAAAGTACTCTCGAATGATAGCCTTTTTCACTGTATCATATGCAGTAAAAACTTTACGTGCGGCCCATTGTCAAATGTAATAAGGCATGCAGAATCTGTGCTTCACAAAAGAAATGCCGAAAAAAATACATCGTTACTTGATAGTGACGATGTAATTTCTAAGAAAAAACCATTGTCTCGTAAATTTTTGCATCATTGGTTAGAAACAAAAGAATTTAAACCATGGTTACGCGAAGTAAATGATAATACTAATTTAGCTGTATCTTGTATGTGTACGATTTGCGATAAAACCATTGCTGGTGGTTTAACGAATATCTATCGTCACGCTGAATCGACAATGCATAAAAATAACGGTAAAAAATGTAATATTAATACAGATAACTCTCAAAAAGTAAATAGTGAAATTGATGAATTATTTGTGCCATTTCAAGAGCAAAAAAGGATAGCAGAGACTCGATTCGCTGCTATAATTAGTGAAAGAAATGTTCCGCATGACACTGCAAAAATATTACTCAATTTTTTTCAAGACGTCGGGAATAAAAATCCAAACGTTTTGAAAAGTATGACTATGGGTCGAACTAAATGTACTAATATAATTACTAAAGTTTTGTGCCCAGTTGAAACAAATCGTGTGGTACAAAACATTCAAAATACAAAATTTTCAATTTTTATTGATGAAACGTCAGATATTACGAATGCAAAATGGATGACGTTTCAGGTTCGATATGTAGAACTTCATTAGAAATTCGATCGCAATTAGTAAAATTAATTGATCTTAATGCGGCAGATTGTAGTGCGGAAAA